ATCAGCAATTGATATTTTATTAACATTTCCATATAACCGGTTGTACAGATTACAAATTAATGAGGCCAGATCAGCACATGCAAAATTATCTCCAGGATTAGCAGAGTTTGCCCACGGTGTCTGAACTTGTGAACTTCTTCTCTTTTGTACTCTTTCCTAAGTTTAACATGCAACAATTCTTGGATACTGGAGCATGTAGTCAGCATCGAAAGATAACTATGTTTATACCAAGTAAAACAATCCAAAACACCTTTAAAGGAAAAATTGCACAAGAGCAACCCCAAGTACTGCACGCACTCTGCACGGTTCTCACCAGCAACATGGGGGAAAACTCCTTGCTTTTTTTTTCTCCTAGAGCATACTTTGTTAAAGTTATGTTCACACGCACCCATTTCAAGATTTCAAATTAATTATTCTGTATAGCATACAGTAACGAGGAACCAACTCTTCTTTTTTCCATAATTAATTACAACCACAACATAGTGCCCAAGGATAGCAGAGGAAACAAATAGTAATAAGAATTTCAGGACACCTTGGAGAATTTTATGAAGAGAAGATCAATAGCATAGATACTATCCTGGAAAAGACTATTGCAGGTTGTTATTTTTTCCCAAAAAGAGGAAACGCAAAAAATTGTTCTGCTTCAAGTATATCTTTCAAAAGCTAACTTCGATTACTTTCTCTTTTCAGTTTACATAAATCAGCAAGATTATCTCTGGGAGTAGAAGACTTTGACCACTATGTACAAGCGACAATTCTTGGATACTGGAACATGTCATCAGCATCAATAGAAAACTGTTGTTTCTACCGAGTAAATAATCCCAAATAGACCTGTTGTAAATATTCTTAGAAACCTAACCGTCAAAGGACAAATTGCACTAGAGACACCCAAGTATTGCACGCACTCTGCACGATTCTCACCAGCAATATGGGGGAAAACTCCTAGCTTACATCAAATTACTTACAAAATATAATCAAGCAATACAGCAAATGTAATACACAAGTAAGGGTAAGAAAAGCAAATGATCAAATATCTGAAATGATACGAGAAATAGTAAAAGGTGATGGAGTACTGCTATCTGAAGCTTAGAAACAGAATCACTTGTCTGCATCACTAATGATATCTTCCTCCATTTCTTTCTTACCCTGTTTCTTTTAAAGTTCTTTCACACAGATAGAGAGAGGGGACGGAGGAATAAAGGGAAGAGGAGAAATCGACTCACGAGATGTAAGACGACTTTCTCTATTTAAAGATGCCATAACCTTTAGAGATGTATCACGATAAAATGATAATTAATGAACTATTCCTTCTTGATTAATTCGTTAATGTACCTCTCTTGCATCGAGTTTAACATGCGATGTTCTTGGATATTAGAGCATGTAGTAAGCATCAAAGAAAAATGTGTTTCTACCAACTAAAATAATTCCAAATAGACTTGCCAAAAATATTCTTAGAAACCTCACCATCGTGATTTTTAAAGGACAAATTGCATGAAAGCAACCTAATTATTGCACGTACTCTGCACGATTCTCATAGGCTACAAGGACAAAAAAAACTTCCTAGCTTTTTTTCTCCTAGAGAACACTTTCAACATCCAATATGTGAGAATTCCATGGACATTTTCAATTATTATTCTGTTAAAGTTGTGTTCACACGCACCGGTTACAAGACTTAAAATTAATTACTCCTGACAGCATAGGGTGATGAGGAACCAACTTGTCTTGTCCATTGTTAATTAGAACCACAATGTAGTGCCCAAGGATACAAGAGGAAACAAACAAGACAACAGATACCGATCAAAATTGCAATTAATTTGGAAATTTGTCTCTAAGCAGCACCAAAATCCAAAACTATCCAATTACCGTAATCTACTCATGAAGACAGAAACAAGACTATCAGAACGCCTTGAAAATATTTATGAAGAGAAGATCAATTGCATGGATACTAACCTGAAGAAGATTCTTTCAGGTTTATTTCCCAAAAAGAGGAAATGGAAAAACCTATCCTGCTTCAAGTCTATCTTTCAAAAGCTTAACTTTGACGGTTTTCCCTTTACATAAATAAGCAATTAATACTTTGTTAACATTTCCATGTAATTGGTTGTATAGATTACAAATTAATAATGCCAGATCAGCACATGCAAGATTATCTCTAGGAGTAGAAGACTTTGCACGCAACGTGTGAATGTGTGGACTTCTCTTTTGTACTCTTTCCTAAGCTTAACATGAGACAATTCTTGGATACGAGAACATGTAGTCAACACCTTCCCCTTCGCACTTCGCTCACCCTATCCATCCTTGCGCTGACAGGTAGGGCTTATCTATGTGATTCGTTACGCTTGCCTGCGCCTATCAGCTGATTCTATTGCCTGCCAGTTAGCGATACTTATCCGGTAGTCAAAAGATAATTGTGTTTCTACCAAGCCCTTATAAAATAATATTTAAAAACCTGTATTTCTACCAGGTAAAATAATCCCAAATAGACCTGTTAAAAATATTCTTACAAAAACCTTGCCATCATATTTTTCAAAGGACAAATTGCACCAGAGCAGCCCGAGTAACGCACGCACTTTGCATGATTCTCACAAGCAACATGTGGAAAAAATCCTAAACTTTTTTGTCTCCTAGAGCGCACTTTCAACAACACACGAGACTTTCGTGGGCATTTTCATTTACTGTTTTGTTAAAGTTGCGTTCACACGCACCAATTTCAAGACTTAAATTAATCGCTCCCTATAGCATAGGGTAGCAAGGAACCAACTCGCCTTGCCCATCATTAACTAGAACCACAATGTAGTGCCCAAGGATACTAGAGGAAGCAAACAAGACAACGGACAGTAACCGAGATTGCAATTAATTTAGAAATCCATCTCTAAGCAACATGAAAATCCCCAACTCTCCAATTATCATAATCTGCTAACAAAGACTAGACACCAATCTTGTAATAGCATATAAATTGGATTTTAATCTACTCCACTCTCACCATGAACTTCCTAAATTGGATTTTAATAACTAGTATAGTTCTTTCTTCTAATAAAGTATCAGTTTTTACTCATGCAATTCAAAGTTTAAACCATTACCCAAAACAACTCACTTTATAAGCAACAAAGTTCCAATCTTTTTCAACTGTAAGAGTAAATGAAGCACAAATCACTTTAAAACCAACAAAGTTCCAATCTTTTTCACTTGTTAGAGTAAATGAAGAAATCATAAACACAAAAGCCACAAAAAAGATCCCAAATAGAGAGGATCACTAGTAAACTCAAGAACTTAATCAAATCTACAAATAACATTAAAAAAATGTATAAACACAATTATCCATAGAATCTAAAACCAAGCAAAAAAACAAAATAGACTTATTTTGTCCTTGGATTTTTAAAGTCAAATAAGAATAAATCAAGCAAAATATACAAGAATTTACCTCAACCCCACATCTTGGCAGCACTTGTTCTCAACACCCTTTTTCATGGATTGAACAACACTTGCAGCAATTCAAGAATCATGGAGAATTGAGTGACCCCAAAAAAAAAAAAAAGCAGAGGAACAAAAGAGGACAAAGTAATAAATAGTACACTAATAAGTACTCCCTCCCATTTTACATGATGTAGTAATAATAATTATGAAAGAATTAGAAGAAAAGAACAAAGTGGGTAGTTTGCTAACACCATTGAAGAAACTCAGATCCTCATAAAACTGAAAAAAGATTGGAGATTTCGATCTGCTGGGGCCACAACTTCTCAGAAACAAAGAAAAAGAAAGCTCTTTTTTTTTTAGAGAGAGAAGGGAAAATCAAGAAGAAGAGAGAGAAAGACACAAGTTCTATGAGACTTCAAAGGTTGTGTAGTACTATATTTTTGTAAAATATGAAGAAAGAAAGAGAGATCCCAGATAAGAAAATCTTCACACAAACAAACGACGCTTCTGTAATAACAGTGGACATGAAATTTGTCAACATTCGGTCTCTTTTTATTCCTCCGTTTCAATTTATTTGATTTAAAACTCTAATAATTATCAAGAGTCAAGACGTGTATAAAATGTATATGTCACGTCAATATCGGATTTTTATGAGGCATAGTAAAAATAAATTAAAGTGTTTAATTTATTAGTTATTAATTTAAATCAAGTTGAGGTGTATAGATGTGCACTCTCAAAATTGATGTCAAATTTAAGAGTATGTTAAACGTATTGCGCCAGTAAAAAAGTTAATTTAAACTAAAAAGTAATTAACTAAATTATCCTTATTTATTATGTATCTCAATTTATTACTCTTCTTTATTTGTCATATTAATTTGTTTCCATATTTATTGTCATTATAAATAAATAAATAAAATATGTGTGTTTTTTAGGAAATGAAAAAGAAATGGACATTTTCTAGATTCTCTCCACCTTCCTTGCTTTTAGTACAGATATTAGAGTGATAAAAAAAGAAAACTAATAACCCCCTTCCCTCTTTCCTTGTCACATTATACTATAGATATAATATATAAAAATATATCTTTTAATTGCCAATAAATCTATTTAAAAAAATAATTTGAATCTTTGAGAAAAAAGGTGACTAATAGCATTAATAAAATATTTTTAAAAAAAATTGCACACATGTTTTTTCAGTTAATTTTGAGTGCCTTTATTTTTGTTCAATAGGAATTTCTTTTATTCCTCATATATTTGCAATAGAATATTTCCTTTATAAACTTTACTTGTACTATTCAAATACTGTAAAATGATTCTTTTATGGTCTTTATGTCTTAGTCCTATATTTCTTTTATTTAGTCTAATAAACAATTCATACTTATAATGTTAAAACACAAGAATATACATATAAATCAAAAGGTCGATCTTGTATATACAATGTAACTTTCCTACGAAGACGAGGTTACATCATAGAGATTAGATTAACACAACTCATGAGGGATATAATAGATGCCTATGGATTTTCCATCATTTCATTCTCTGAAACAATTCCTGCAATCACAAAAACATGTACAATGACAATCCTCATGTAGCTAAAAAGAAATTCACTCCAGAAATTCATAAAATGAACGCGAATCGGTTAATGTCATCTCTATAAATGATGAATGGATGAAATTACAGAGTTATTTGCCCTGTGTTTTAAGTAAACAGGACAGGAGAAGGATTGCCTGCAGGGCATCTTTGTCTCCGAGGGCGTCTAGGCGTCTTTCCCCACCCTGTTAGGCTTTTGTTATCTTCCAAACTGGCTTCAATGTTGTTAAGTTGGTAAATTAGTGGAGAGGTTGTCGTTGTTGTGGTCAATACCGGGGTACTGGTGTCCACGACTTTTTTCCTCCTTCCCCTTGCACCTCCATTTCTTGTCCCGTTCCTTCTTGTCAAACTGGAGTTCCAAGTATGGCCTGTTGCTCTCATCAACCCTCCGAATATCTGGATGTCTTCAGTCACCTCATGCCTTGACAATGAAGACAGACCAGGAAGGACATCCCTTTGGAAGTCCCTCCGTTGTCTTCCCCTCCTTGCATTCCCTCTTCGTGGTCGATTTGTTAGTGAACTGGCTGCTCCTGCATCTTCTACTGTTTGGACTTCAGGAACAAATGGCTTAGGCATGTAATCTTCCTCCTTGGTCTCTGTTAGTTGCAATGTCATAGCTTCAAAGTAATCTATTTCCTTAAAAGAACTATGTGCAAGTGCAACCATCATGTTGTTGTTCTTGCCTGTAATTTCTTTTGCAGATGGAGTACTATCAAGCTCCGCTGCACAAGAAGAGACCACGTCAACAAACCATCGAAGAGATTCCAGGGGATCATCAGACGGATCACTTTTTGCTTCCTCTATTGCGGTGCAATGAGTGAATGATGAGATGGCAACTATTGCTTCTGCTGCAGTCTTGAGTAGTTCCTCCTGTGTGTGCTGCAAAGATGCCTCGTGTTGCTTGTCATCATCTTCTCCAGGCAAATCATCTTGTTCATTGTCCATAAGTACAGGGGCTTCGAGGTCTATATCCAGAATAGTCTTCACACTGGCCTTATCGGTTACAGCAGAAACTGGTTCTTCTTCATCCTCAGTAATACATGAGTTCAAATCAAAGTGATTCCTGATGTTCATAGCTTTTGTCTCCATCACTTTCTTAGTAGCAATTTGTTCTACAACATAAGGTTCCTCAGGCTCAAGCATAGAAAGGTCACAAGCCACGTTAATGTCGATCACCATACTCCTCTCTTGTTTGATAGTTTTTCTCTCAGGAGAGGAACGAAGATTAGCAGAAGCAAAAACAAGTGATGATGACGACTCATTTCTGGAAGCTACGGGAATATCGAGGATTGGAACACCAAGGATTTTCCTTACATGTGGCGTCTCGACCACTTCTTTTGCGGTCTTCATATGGTGATGTTCCAAAGCTGATGGATCACTCTGGCAGAAAGGAGAGTTTGAGTAAGCCTGGACAAATCCTGAATCTGCTGAAGTTCCACCTATCCTTGTATTGACGTCCTCATTTTTATAATTTGCTTTAGCTTTAAGCCACGGCAAAACTGTCACAGGATCTTGACGCTCTCTTTTTTCATTACTAAACTCAACATCTTGCCTGGGAGGTTCCTCGCTGAGTGCACTTGTTGCTAGCACATTTAAGTTGAAGCCTTTTGCAGATTTCACATCCGTATTGTTAGAACTAATGAGAAAATTCTCGAATGCATTATTAGAGGAATGTTCAGATGTAAACCGGTCCCCCTTAATGTAGCTCAAAGAGTCAAAAGCACCTGAAGGGACGTGAATTGGTGATTCTTTCGTCCCAGATGAGGACCCATGGTAGAAAACACTTCGGTTGGGTAGCTCACTGGCACAGCCTGGACGCACCCTAGAACTGCCACCATTAGCTTGCCAATAGTCTCCAATTTGTCTCTGAGATGACTGTGAACCCTTACCAACTGCTGCAGATGAGTTGAAAAATGAATTTGTATGCAATGAGGATAACCTCTGAGTAAAGCTACCGTTTGGCTTCTCCCAAGAAGAGACAGAATGCGGCCACGAACTGCTAAATTCAGAGGAACTTGCACATGGAAATGGACTAGCCATCTTGGAAGTAACAAATGGTCCCACTTGAGTATAATTAGACTGCTCACCATTTCTGTGAGACATATCTAAACTATGTCCTGTTCTATCTTTCCAAATGCCATCCTTAATATGGTGAACTAGATAAGCGCCCGGAGCTTGATAGGCTTTGTTAATCATTACTGGTGCTTGATGGGAAGCTGCAGGGATCTTTTCTTCTTCGAGACCTCTTGGTAATGAAACTGAGCTGCCTTTGATGTTACCTGCAAATTGAAGCAACTCAAGATAGGTACAAAAGAATTCCAGAAGCTTTTAAACTTGAGTAATATACAGAAATTTCGGAAGGAACTGTCACCTGTTTCATGTGCTGAAGTTAACCACTCCCTGTCTTTGCCTCTACTGCGATCGTATCGGTTACTTAAAGACTCATTTGGGCTTGCACAATTGGAATTCCAAGGCAAAGCCACAAACGGTGAATTTGATTTTGCAGAAGCATTTATGCTTCTAGTCTCTTTATGATTATTACCATAACCAAGAAAATCAACAGGATCGATTGCTTCATCAAGCTGCGCTGGTTCATTTAGGTCAGCCAATCCAATTGAGCTTCTCAAACACGAATTGGATGTTGAAGTATCTTTTCGGCGATCACCCTTTGCACCACCACCAAGAAACAATTTTGTTCCACTCTCTTGAGTAACTACATAATCTACATTAGCAGGATAACTAGGATGTAAAGATCCTGCATTATCTCGCAACTGCCCACCTTCTTCTGTATCTAAGTAATCATTGGCTGGAAGGTGAAGATCAAACAACTTTTTCCGGACCTTTGAGGGCCTAGCCTCCAAAACATCACAGGCTTTCGAAGAATAATCATTTTGCATTAGAACTCGATCGGGCTGTACACAATCTCCTTTTGAAGAACTAAAAGGAGAATTAACAATTTCAGTACCAGATGTAGATGGTCTAGTATAACTAGAATTTTCCAAGGGAAGGTTTGTGATGTTCCATTTCCGGACATCCTCAGATGGTACTTGAGGTCCTAGGTGACTGGATGAACATGATGGCTCCATTGATGAGCGATGTTTATGCATTTCCTTCCTTTTAAATTCGTCCATCATGTCCCTTTGAATTCTGTAAAGGCGATGAAGTTCCACCACCTACAAGCAAACCATTGCATAAGTATATTTGTAACGCTGTTGACACGAGGCAAAAAAGGATTACATGGCAGATGAAGATATTTTGAAGCAGGAGAGTCCAAGAGACTATGGCGTTAGGATATGTAGAACCATACTGAAAACCAAAATTTCCAACTAACTTCTCAAAAAAGAAAAGAGAGCAAAAAGGGAAGCATTACCTGATTCCTGAATATGGCCTCGTGTTCAATCATTTTCTGCTTTAGAATGTCCTTATCATACCCTGGATATGCATCAGTTACAGTCCTCGACGTGAAACCATTACAATATTGCCCGTTTGGTAAAGTCTTATCTCCATAAAATAGGGGCCAACTGCTGCTGTTAGCATCCTCATTAAGGTCTCTCATAGAGTAATAGCTTGGTGAGAATCCTTTATAGTGCACTTGTGTTCCCATTCCTGCCAAGATGTGGCATCAAACAATTTAATTAAAACCAAACAGTTTTCTGAATAAACTTCGAAACTGTTCTTAAAAGATGAGATATTCAGAACCTACGCATCTATTTACGAACATATGATCCCAACACATTACAGCAAACATATCCTTATACGTTTAGTAAAATAAAGGTATCTAAATGCAGATAATTCAAATATCTAATTCCAGAAGTATTGAAAGACAATTTTTTTATCCAAGAAAAATGAGAATAACATGATGCAGGACAACATACATAGTATTAAAATAGCGGTGCAATGGAGGAGTGCTATGGGAGCGCCATACAAAGATACTAACAAACTGAAAGTCAAATTTAACAAAATGACTTCAGAAAAAGATGTTCTGTAGCAGACAAAGATGATAAATTGAGGGAACTAGACTAAGATGGTTTAACTATAAGCTACGTAAACCTCCATCTGCACCGGTTTACAGGTGCAACACCATGATGACTGAAAATAATATAAAGAAGGACTTAGATCTAAATAACGTAAAGGAAATTGTATCAATAGACATACCATATCTTGAAATGATTGCAGAGTTAGCTAAAAAGTAAACACAACAAGTTCGATAATCGATAGCACGAGTAGAGATTTAAGACTAAGTTGTTGTTACACTTACATAAAGTCCGGTGTTCCTCGGGAGTTTTTTAGTTATGCGTTGAGACTTGTATGTTCGTGTAGGGGTAAGTATGAGAATTAGAGATTCTCTAATTTTAGAGAACCCCTAATTTCCTTGAAATACAAATTATTTTTGTCAACTAGAGGATATCTTCATTGACAGGCCCATGGTTATACCCTAAAACACAAATAAGAACATCAGGACGCGTTGAAGAATTTTATGAAGAGAAGATCAATTAATTTTATGAGTTCCCTTTTACATAAATCAGCAATTAATGTTTTATTAACATTTCCATGTAACCGGTTGTACAGATTACAAATTAATGATGACGAATTAGCACATGCGAGATCATCTCCAGGAGTAGAAGACTATGCATGTGACGTGTGAACAATTTAATAGAATCAAGCAATACAACAATTTAATACACAAGTAAGGATAAGAAAGCAGATGATCAAATATCTGACAAAATGATACGAGAAATAGTAAAAGGTGATGGAGTACTGCTATCTGAAGCTTAAAAACAGAGTCACTTCTCTGCATCACCAATGATATCTTCCTCCATTTCTTTCTTTAAAAGTTCTTTTACATAGATAGAGAGAGGGGACAGAGGAATAAAGGAAAAGGGAGAAATAGACTCACAAGATGTAAGACGACTTTCTCTATTTAAAGTCACCATACATGAAAACCACCTTTAGAGATGTATCACAATGGAAAATGATAATTAATGAACTATTCCTTTCTAGATTAATTAGTTAATGTACTTCTCTTGCGTCGAGTTTAACATGCGACGATTCTTGGATATTGGAGCATGTAGTCTGCATCGAAAGATAAATATATGTGTTTCTACCAAGTAAACTAATCCCAAATAGACCTGCCAAAAATATTCTTAGAAACCTCGCCTTAGTATTTTCAAAGGACAAATTGCACCAAAGCTACCCAATTATTGCACGCAAGCAGCTTAATTATTGCACACACTCTGCACGATTCTCATCGGCAACAAGGACAAAAAACACCTAGTTTTTTTTCTCCTAGAGAACACTTACAAAATCCAATATATGAGACTTGCATATACTTTTCCAATTATTCATTTGTTAAAGTTATGTCCACCAGCGGTTTCAAGACTTAAAACTAATTGCTCCCTATAATAGCATACAGTAACAAGGAACCAACTCGTCTCGTCCGTCATTAATTTGAACCACAATGCAGTGCCCAAGGATACAAGAGGAAACAAACAAGACAATGGACACCAGTCAAGATTGCAATACATCTGAAAATTTGTCTCTAAGGAGCACCAAAATCCAAAACTCTCCAATTCCGTAATATACTCATGAAGACAGAAACAAGAATATCAAGAGGCCTTGAAGAATTTTATGAAGAGAAGATCAATTGCATAGATATTGTCCTGAAGAAGACTCTTTCAGGGTTTTTTTCCCAAAAACAGGATATGGAAAAAACTATTTTGCTTAAAATATATCTTTCAAAAGCTTAACTTCGACGGATTTTCCTTTACATTAATCAACAATTAATGTTTTGTTAACATTTCCATGTAATTGGTTGTATAGATTACAAATTAATGACGCCGGATTAGCACATGCAAGATTATCTCCAGGAGTGACTATGCACGCGACTTGTGAACGTGTGGACTTCTCTTTTGTACTCTTTCCTAAGCTTAACGTGCAAAAATTCGTGGATACGGGAACATGTAGTCAGCATTGAAAGATAACTTTGTTTCTACCAAGTAAAACAATCCCAAATAGACCTGTTGAAAATATTCTTGGAAACCTCGCCATCATGATTTTCAAAGGACAAATTGCACCAAAGCAGCCTAAGTACTGCACACACTCTGCACGAATCATACAAACAACATGTGGAAAACATCTTAACTTCTTTGTCTCCTAGAGCACACTTCCAACAACGCACGAGACTTTTGTGGACATTTTCAATTACTGTTTTGTTAAAGTTGCGTTCATACGCACCGGTTTCAAGACTTAAAATTAATTGCTCCCTATAGCATACAGAAACGAGAAACCAACTCGTCTTGTCCATCATTAATTAGAACCACAATGTTGTGCCCAAGGATACAAGAGGAAACAAACAGTAATCAAGATTGCAATTAATCTAGAAATTCGTCTCTAAGCATCACAAAAATCCTAACTTTTTTCTCCTAGAACACACATGAGACTTCCGTGGACATTCTCAATTACTGTTTTGTTAAAGCTGTGTTCACACGCACTGGCTTCAAGACTTAAAACTAATTGTTCCCTATAGCATACAGTAAGGAGGAACCAACTCGTCTTGTCCATCATGAACTAAAACCAATTGATAAAGCACAAGGATACAAGAGTAAAAAACAAGACAACAGACAGTAATCAAGATTGCAATTAATCAAGAAATTCATCTCTAAGCAGCACGAAAATCCCCGACTCTCTAGTTATCAAAATCTGCTAACAAAGACAAGCAACCAATCTTGTAATAGCACATAACTTAGATTTCAATGTACTCCACTCTCACCATGAACTTCCTAAATTGGATTTTAATGACTAGTATAACTCTTTCTTCTAATAAAGTTTCAATCTTTACTCATGCAATTCAAAGTTTTAACCTTTACCCAAAACAAATCACTTTATAAGCAACAAAGTTCCAATCTTTTTCACTTGTTAGAGTAAATGAAGCAAAAAAAAAGATCCAAGATCAAAAGTAAAATTCAATCTCCAGATAACACAATAAATACCAAAAGAAAATGTTAAACACAATTACCCATAGAATCCAAAACTTGCTAAACAAAGCCAAAAAATAAATAAAAAAAGAAATATTCTGCTCTTGGATTTTCAAAGTCAAATAAGAATAAATCTAAAAAAAAGTAAAATATACAAGAATTTACCTCAACCCCACATCTTGGAAACACTTTTCCTCAACACCCTTTAAATGGATTGAACAATGAACAACACTAGCAGCAATTTAACAAATTCAAGAATCATGAAGAATTGAGTGACCCCAAAAAGAAGAAGCAGAGGAACAAAAGAGGACAAAGTAATAAATAGTACTTATAATAATAAGTACACCCTTTATCCCAACTAAATATAAAAATATGTCATTTTTTTCAACACAGTATAAAATAAAATAAAAAGCAAGTCATATAAATTCGAACAAACAGAATAATAATAATTAAACAAGAATTAGAAGGAAAGAACAAAGAGGGTAGTTTGATAATACCATTGAAGAAGCTCAGATCCTCATAAAACTGATAAAAGATTGTAGATTTCAATCTGCTGGGGCCACAAGTTCTCAGAAAGAAAGAAAAAAAAAACTTTTTTTTAGAGAGAGAAGAGAAAATCAAGAAGAAGAGAGAGAAAGAGAGACAGACAGAAGTTGTATGAGACTTCAAAGGTTATGTTGTGTAATAGTACTATATATTTTTTTTTGTAAAAAAAGGAAGAAAGAAAGAGAAAGAGAAATCCCAGATAAGAAAATCTTGACACAAACAAACGAGGCTTCAATAACAACAGTGACATGAAATTTGTCAACATCCGGTCTCTTTTTTATTCCTATGCTTCTTCTTTTTTTTTCCTATTTATATATTACCGTCAAATCTCTCTACAACGTATATATAGACATATAATATTTTACTTTTGAGTTGAGTATGTATATCTAGACACTTTAATCAATTTCATTGTATTATTTGAGTACATTCTAGTTTACAAAATGATTATTTAGACACTTACAAAATTTATGTATTACGTCACACTACAATAAAAATATCTTTTAGCAGTAATAAATATACATATTAACAAAGAGTGTTAAAGTCTTTACCGGCATTAGTTAATTGTTATTGGATCCAATGTCGCTAAAGATTTTAGGGACATAAACAAAGAGTGTTAATTACCGTTTAAAGTACATATTTAGTGACAATTAAGTTATTGCCGCTAAAGATCATTTTTTATGTAGTGTCAATATCGAAGCGTTCACAAGATATCATAAGAACAAGTTGAAGTGTTTAGCTAACGGTTGAGCAAATTGAGGTGTTTAGATATGCAATATTGAGGTGCTTATTTATCGGTTGAAACTAAGTTTGAGGATATGTATATATTATGCTTATAAAAAGTTAATCATTACTCTTTCTAGTCTGATTTACCTGTCATTTTTTTTTTCTTTTATACAAGGCCTTAAGCAAATCTTGATTAAAAAGGTAATTAATTAATTATTCTTATTTACTAGTATTTTATCTCAATTTATCACTATTATCTTTTTCATCGTATTAATCTTTTTCCATATAGAATAAGGATAAAAATGAAAATTAATAATTAATTATATTTTGATTTTCTTAAATAATGCTTAATTATTTTAAATGAGTTGTTTTTAATAAGTATGATAACTGAAATAAATAAAAGGAAATATAAATTAAAAAAATATAGAAAATGAGTTATTGGAGTTGTAAGTTGTAACACTCCCCTTTCTCTATCTTTAATCTTTAATGTTCCTTATTTTCATTATAAATAAATAAAATATGTGTAAAAAGAAATGGGCCATTTTCTAGATTCTCTCGACCTTCCTTGCTTTTTAATAAGAGTTTTTTTATAAACCCACCCTCCCCCTCCGCCTCCCTGCGCTTTATATTAAACGCATAATATATAAATATGTTCTTTTATTTAATTTTATTTGTCAAAAGTTTAAAAATAAACACAAAAATATTTTGAATCTTTGAGGAAAAGCTGATTAATAGCATCAATAAAAGACAAAAAAATAAGTAAAAAATTGGACACATGTTTTTCAAATTTGATTTTTGAGTGCCTTTTTTGTTCAATGGGAATTTATTTATTCCTTATACATTTGCAATAGAATATTTCCTTTAAAGTAGTTTTTTTTTTTAAAGTTCTCACCGTTAAACATTACTTGTGTTGTGCTAGTCGAATTCTGTAAAAAAAAAGATTCTTTTTATGGTCTTTATGTCTTTCTCCTATATTTCTTTTTTTACTTTTTTTTTTTATTCGATGTGTGGTATTTACATGTAAATTCGATTAAATGTTAATATTAACGTTAATGTTTGAAAATTTTGATGCCACCTAAAGTGGTTAGCTATAATTAAGTTGTAGTTTTCTTATTTGATTTTCAACTTTTATATTGAAATTTTAATTGATTTAGATTTATATCGTGTAAGATTTGTTCAACAGTGAAAAATTATTTTATTAAGTAATAATTGGCATACTCTTTAAAAGATTTTTTTTACATATTTAAAAACTCAAATTCAAGATTTTTGATTGATGGTAGATAATAATATATACCGTTTTGTGACTTCGTAAGAATTGAATGGATTTAATTCAAGTTAGTGTTTTAATTTAATATTGTACATAATTATTAATACTTAGAAGTTATAGGATGTTTTGCATTTTAATATTTTGTACGTTACACTAACTTAAAATTATGAACTTTCTAATTATGCATCTATGTTGTAATGTGCTGGTTTGCTCTAGTTTAATTGCTAGAACAAATTTAATGTTGTAATTTATGTTACAAAATTGAGGCTTGCTCATACATATTATAAGAAAAATAATATTGCATTACATGATAATAGCTTCTTTTGATTTTCTTATTTGATATTCAGTAATTTTTTTTATCCAATTGATTTATATAATCATGTTACATAAGGCTTATTGAAGAGTAAAATTACTTTCTACCATGATTTTTTTTCATTTCAAAGTCCGAACACAAGATTTTTTATGTTTTCCAATATTTATTGAGCTCCGACTAATCCAAATGCACACCCATAAGGCCCCATTAAAGTGGGGTCAGAATCACTCTCTTATTAGAATTTTTCAACTTGCTATCATTTAATTAAGGTTTACCTAACTCGTAAATAATATAGACAACCAACTTGATTAACCTCCTAAGCTAGTTGATAATCAAAATTTTAGAAGAATAGTAAGTATTTTAATAAATTACTCTCTCTGTTTCAATTTTTGTGACTTACTTTTTTTTTTAGTCAGACCCAAAAGAAATGACACATTTCTATATTAAGTAACAATTTAACTTTAAAATATCCATTTTATCCTTACTGAAATGATTTCTAGTCACACAAATTTCTATCATTCATTTTAGAATACAAGTTTTAAAAGTCTTCATTTCTTTTTTAAATTATGTGCTGAGTTAAACTACCTCACATTAAATGGGACGAATAGAGTAATAATTATAAGGTATATATTAATGAGGCTTAATTTTTTTATTATTTTTTGCCATTTTAAGTGATATTTCAATTATCTAGATAGATTACTTAATTCAGTATTGTAGCAGAGTACTAAGAAAATCAGACAAAAATGGGACCCACTAACATTATGAGTTTTAAATAAGAATATTTTGTTTTTTATTTCTTCTAGGACTTAGTGATTTTTGCTAAAATAGCCCTCGGAATTTAAGTTTATTTACTAAAAAAAAGGAAAAAAGTTTTTTTTTTCTGTGCTTCTGATTTTGTCTGATTGGTCGATACAGTACTGTACTGTTTAATAAAAAAATAGAAAGAAGTATTGTACAAAATACCATTTAGATTTTAAAAGTACCAACATGGTATTTTTGTTGCAGCACGAGGACTTGGAAAAAATCACAAAAGGGCTTTTTGATTAAAAACAATAAAAATAAGTTTGATGAATTATTTGACATAAAATAATTTGATGAAATAAAAGTTGTACCACCAATGGAACACCTATAAAAATTACTATGTAGGAGTCGCAAGTATTTATACTTTTTCTTGGACGAATCAAAGCAATAAAGGACTGAATCTTAGTAGATCGTGGCAGTAGTGTTGCTGTGCCACTAATAATATTTCATCGCATAATTACGTCGTCTGTCAAGAATTCTACCTGTCGATGAAAATTGTACTCCAAGGTGGTCCACACGACTCTTCTACCGCGATTCCCTTGGGGGAAATCAAAATATTCAAAAAAAAATCCTTAAATTTTGATCAAATTAAAATCAGAAAATCAAATTAATATGGAGGGAGCAATAATTTTGTGTATGTTTTAACTTTTAAATTAATAGTACTATTACAAATCTCAATATTAAAACATAAAGATATTGGCGTTGAGTTTACCAACATAAACTTTTATTTTTCTTTTTGGAGACGTGGTATAGAATTTGTAACATGGATTTAGTAAGAATATATTTTAGCATTCTATAATTTCAGTTAAATAATATTCTGAATTAATTATCTTGAACTTTATCTTAATGAAATCCTAATTAGTTGTGGATTGCATTGAAGAAATAATTTACTTAGCTAAATTAGACCAATTGCCTTAATTGTTTTTTTTTATAGTCAAGTTGAGAATCGAATTAATGTGCGTTGGCTTTTACTATAATTGAATATTTAGATTCTACTTGATCTAATTATAATAATCATTATTTGATTATTTTTTCATTTACTCTTGTTTAGTTGGTGATTATTAAAGTTTTCTCTAAATAACTAAAATCTTTGATGGTGACTTTTGACCTAAACTAAAAGATGAAGATTAAATAATTAGAATGGTTGGTGCATAATCTAAATCAAACCCGTACAATTTTCTTCAAAAAGTCTTAAACAATTAAAGGCAATACAATACCATATTTGTAGCTTCTTCTTATTTCTCTCAAGCTAATAATATAGGACTTTGTTCGCACATCCAATAATCTCTTTCGCGAACTAAGTTTTGATCCACATACCCATCGTTAAGATAATATTCATGGGATAATATGAAGATTTATTTCGTGTCACTCACATCATTCGAGTATTTGCGACAACTATAGTTCATAACTCACATACTTCTTTTGTATATGTGTTTTCAAGCTAAGAGTAAAGATAGTTATAACCTATGAAAGGGTAAATGTGGTAAAGCTAATAAAGATGGTT